GGCGCAGCAAACGGGCGCAATCTCACCGCAACATCTGGGAAGCGGTGCACACCCGTCCCCCATCCGGCCCTTCCGGCCGAAAATCCGCTGTTAAAAAAACCCACCTCCCGAGCAGGACTTACCAGAGACGCTGCTGCAAGCGCGGCCGTCGGATCGCCCAAGCGTCTGTCTTCTGGAGCAATTGAGGCTCCCAGCCGAACTGCGCATGCGCCCGCATGCGCAGCCGGTGGCCTCCCACTCCGCTCGGTGGCTTCCTCCCCAGCATCTGATCGTGCCGGGGAGCAATGGCGCAGCGGCTCAGGGGATCAATGTGATCCCGCCGCCGCGTGTTTCTTTTGGTGCGGCTCTGAATAGCTGCACTTTGTTCGTGTTTTTTTCTGCCGCGTGGCAGGGACCTCCATTAACCTTTCCTCTGCAACAAGCAGCTGCAGGGGAGGTATCTAGGGCAGGGACCCCCAACCTTTTTGAGCCCGTGGGCACCTTTGGAATTCCGATGGCCTCAGGCACAAAAACTGGCTGTCATAAAAAGGGCAGCTGCTGCCAAAGCAACATTTTAAAAAAAATCTGCATAGCCAATCAGAAGCCTTTCTGGGCAAAAGCCCCACTTGGCCCCTCACACTTTCTAAAAACACTCGGTGGGCACCAGAAAAGGTGTTGGGCACCATGGCGCCCACGGGCACTGTGTTGGGGAGCCCTGAATGCTGTCAGTGCATAGGGAGCTATAGTGAAAAACTAAACTTGGGACCCTATGCATGCAAAGCATGTGCAGTGCCAGCTGAGCTTCATGGAACCTGTCCTGTGTACAGGTGGGGGCTGGAGTTTGGGAGGCTGAATGGTCCTGCCCACTGAAGCGAATGGGCATCCTAGAACAGTGATGACGAACCTTTTAGAGACCGAGTGCCCAAACTGCGACCCAAAACCCACTTATTTATCGCAAAGTGCCAACACGGCAATTTAACCTGAATACTGAGGTTTTACTTTAGAAAAAACAACTCATATATTAACTTAAGATGATCCAAACAAAGTAAGGAAAGCAATCCGAAATGCTTTCATTTACTTAAAATTATTTGGCAGAGAATTCAACACTTTAATGATGGTCTGGGCCTGGCTGGGGCGATGGCACGCGTGCCCACAGAGAGGGCTCTGAGTGCCACCTCTGGCACCCATGCCATAGGTTCGCCACCACTGTCCTAGAACATGTCAAGGGAGGCTTTGTAATGCACAGAGGTCCCACAGTAGATGTACTCCTCAGCAGACAAGTTGATGGGGAAGGGATTCCCTGAAGGTTTAAAAAAAGAACTTTGAAAATGCCAGTTTATATCCCTGGCAGGGACAACAACTGGAAAACCCATGAACTGTGACCAAGAGGTGACCTGTTAAACACATGAAGCTGCTGTCTATTGAGTCAGGGTTTATCAGAGTCAGTATTTTCTACTCTGACTGGCAGTGGCTGCCCAGGGTCTCGGGGAGAAGTCTTCCACATCCCCTGCTGCTACCTGACCCTTTTAATTGGAGATGCCTGAGATTGAACCTGTGACCTTTTGCATGCAAAGCGGATGCTCTTCCACTGAGCCAGTGCTCCATACTGGACCACTGCACACACAGACTCCTCCAGCTGGCCTCTCACGCCCTGTTGGGCAGTCTGAAAATGAGACTCCTTTATCTGTTTTGGGGAGCCTTGTACGGAGTGGGGGGGAAGAGTGTGTGCCTGGCCCCCTTTTTGGAGTGCCTAGAGAGGCTCAGGAGCCAGTGAAGGTTGTGTGGGTTAAACTGGAAACCGTTCCAACCTGCCACAGCTTTCTGGGAGCTTAACTCGGAGGCAGAGACGTTACTCACCAATCAGGAATGCAGCTCTATTTTTCCTTTAATGAGAACAAAACATTTTTATTCTTGTTTGTTAAAAGAAAGCTTGGGCGACTGTCACCATGCCAACGGGAATCCTTTCCCCTAGGGGCAATAGAGCTGAGGCTATCTTCTACCTCTGTTCGTGTTCGGAAAGGTGAAGCAGATGACTCGCCAAAACTTGACGCGGGCAAGAATAATGCTCCCTTGTTTTCTCACAGGATTGTCCTAGCCTTGGTACCCTGGGCTAGGTCCCCCCCCCCTTTACAACATCCTATTTGGTGTGCCTACAAAGGACTTGGTGCTGATGAGTGGCACTGGCATCCGCACCAGCTAGGCAGCGTCCTGGGGTCCGCTTGAATGGTGAGCTTTTGAACATGAAAATTGCTTTGCTGGATCGTAAGAAGAGTCCTGCTGGGTTTGACCAAAGGTTCATCATGTGCAGCATTCCATTTGCAGTGGTTACTGCCTCTGGGAAACTTGCAAACAGGACATAAGAAAACACCCTTCCCCTGGGTCTGGCATACTCACAGATATGTTGCGTCTTAAAATGGAGGCTCCACTCAGCCATCATGAATCTGCCCGATCCTTTCTTAAAACTATCTAAGCTAATGGGCTGAACAAAGTTTGAGTCCAGCGGTACCAACAAAGTTTTATTCAAGGTATGAGCTTTCGTGTGCACACTTTATACTTACTTTATACACCTGTCTTTAATCCACAGTGGGTTACGTTATTCTCCTCCATTGTATCCTCACAACAACCCTGTGAAATAGATTAGGCTGAAACAGTGCAACTGGCCCAAGAAAGCTTCCATGGCAGAGTAGGGAAATTTACCTGTTCTCTCAGTTCCCTAGTTTGACACTGTAACCTAGAGGTGTCAAACTCATTTGTTACAAGGGCCAGATCTGACATACATGTAACTTTGTTGGGCTGGGCCATGTGTGCCATAAAATGTAATGCCAGGTACAAGAGAGATAAACTTTATAAAGGACACAGGCAAACCTAATTAAGGATACTGTTTTTTACTCAAAATACAAATATGCTTAAAACATTCTCTTACAGTATTTCCTTGATGTATCTCCCTGATGCCCACCCTCCAACTTCCACTGCCAATTATTCATTAGTACTGGGACGCTGTACTGGGACATAATGCATAGCTTCGGTCAACTGGCAAAAAAATCAGTGACCAGTGGGCTGGATAAGTGCCCTGGATGGGCCAGTTCCAGCCCGTGGGCCATGTGTTTGACACCGCTGCTTTTAACCAATACACCATTCTGGCTTTCTAGTGGCTCTGGTGTTGGCAGCTGGAACAAGAGGAATGTATCAATCATTTATTGATTTGATTTATTTAATTTGTATTTCCTGCTTACAGAACAGGGTAAAAATTCCAACAATACATATAATAACACAGCAACAGTTAATATAAATACAGTGATAAAACCAAGACATAATAATAAAGTGCTAGCATAGTTCTTCACTTTTAGCGTCAGCTCCATTGGTCTGCTTCAGTTGTTTTGAGGGGGTTTGGCTCGGGCAATTATTCATACCTTTATAACATTTTTAATCCCACCCTTCCTCCAAGGAGAAGCGGGTGCCCCAGCCGTACCCCCCCCCCCACACATCTGGTTCAAGCAAGGCCTTGTGCCATACAGTTATAACCACCACAGTCCTTGGGTGCCTTGATGTGGTAATAATACTACCTTATACTTAGCATTGGTATGCCAGTATGAGGTCCCTTGTCGTGATCTTTTCTACTTTTAGCTTTGCAATAGAGACCATGGGAAGAATTGGGTCGCCTGAGGGTGAAACCCCCCCCCCCCAAGTACTGTAGAGAGGAGTTTCCCAAATTGAACAGAGAAGAAGATTCCAGTGCCTTTAGTTTAGGGGTCAGGAACTGTGGTAGCCTGTGGGCTAAGTCTCAGCGTCTGCATGGTACCAGTCCCCTCTAATTGCAAAAGAGGGTGTGGATAAGTAATATCTATGGCAGCAGGATTTGGCAGCAGACTGTTTTGAAAGGGGAAATGGGGATCGTTGGCCCTTTGTCCCTCATTCCTCTGTAAAAGTGTCCCTCCTTCAGAATTACTGGTCGTTGCAGACCAGGCTATTAGTCAGTGCTAGGTTGCCTTCTCAGTTTCATTTGTAACCTTTTGATACTAGCTAGGGTTATACAATCCAGCCATTGGTTGGCAACCAGCAGAATACAGAGAGGGGCAGGGGTGGTGGTGGGGGAATACGTGGAAGTGATGTCACGTCAGTATTTGCTGGAACTGATTGGCATGATGCTGCTTTTTGGTCATTCCCCCCCCCCCCCACTGGCTGGCAGTGGGCACTAAAGCCGGGAGGTCTCCCACTAAAGCACTAGACCAGGTGGGCCTGAAGCCAGAGATCTGGTCTCCCTATTACTAGCTCCCTGGACCTTTAATGGGTGGCTGATATTCAGACATTTAGCAGAGTGAAGTTTTTCCTGGTATAACAGTAAGTGGGGGAGAGCCTTACCTGGCTACATTTCAGTGTGTTTGGCTTCTGTTAAAGGCACAATTTTAACCAGTTCACCTCCTTTATACCCTACCTGAGGACCTAAGCAGCTTACAATCATCCTCCTTTCCTCCATTTTATTCTCAAAACTATTAGGTGAGGTAGGTAAAGCTGAGTGTGTGTGACTGGCCCAGGGTCACCAAATGAGCTTCTGTAGCAGAGTGGGGATTCGATCCTGGGTCTCCCATATCCTAGTCCAGCACTCAGATCATTACAGGATATCCATCCCCCCCCCCCCCCCCCCCCCCCTCGATGGGCAACACGAGACCTGATAAAATCCTTTCTTTGGTACTTATATGAAAGGAGCAGGAAATCTGAGCCAGGTGGAAACAGGCAAGCCCTAACTGTTGGCTGAGGGAGAATTTGCTTTCCTTAATACACACCGTCTTTACATTTTGCATATTGTGTCTTTGTAGCTTGAAGTGCATTGACTGAGAAGAGAAATGAAGCCCCGGCAGTCCAGATGGTAAGCATTACATACCTACCTACCTACCTACATACATAAAGCTACCTTATACTGAATCAGGCTATTGGTACATCAAGGTCAGCATTGTCTACTCAGACTGACAGCAGCTCTCCAGGATCACAGGCAGAGATCTTTCACAGCATCGGATCCTTTTAAATGGAGACGCCAGGGATTGAACCTGGGACCTTCTGCATGCAAAGCAGAGGCTCTTCCACTGAGCCACAGCCCCAAAGATGTCGGGACTCATAGTTGTCCTCCTGGGGGGAGCAAGCCATGGACTAGAAGCTGGGGAGGGCGTGGGAGGACCGAGGGGTCGGACCCAGCCTTAGAACACATTCTTGGACCAGTTAAAACCTTGTCTACTGGAGATGCTGAAAAGGAGAGGGGATGCCTAGAAGTGCAATCCCAAGCACAGCTGCACTCTTCTATGACCATTGACTTCAGTGGACTGTGCTTAGAATGGCAATGTTTGGGAGCCAGCTATAGCCACCCATAGGATCTGGTAGACACTTCACAGTCTAAAACTACCTTTGCAGTGCCATCCTAAAGAGTGTAACATACCCAGTGGAGTCAGTGGGTTTTCTTTTGTTGTTCAGTCGCACAGTCGAATCTGACACTTAGAAGGGTGTAAATTTTCCTTAGGATAGTTCTTTTAGTCATCTGTCTAGCTAATATGTCTTCATCCCTGATTTGCTAATGAGTGAGAATGTGTAAGCAGAAGGACTATCATCTGCTTCAAGTTATCCTAGTTGATTAATTCTATGTGTTTTAATTGAGTGGTTAATGTAACTGATTAGATCTGCATACATTTGCATAGAAGAAAGTAATGGCACTAAAGGAAAAAAGCATCCTCTTGTTGGCTAGTACAAGATGCGTGCCTGCATTGTAGCCAACAGCTTCTTAAAAGAGGTGTTTCCCCTTTTAGCGCATCTCCCTTATAAATAAAAGCCGAATGGTGGTGGCACTTCTCTAGAACATTCCACACGCTCCGGAATTGGTTGGCGCCCTGGTGTGTCACTCAGAATCTGTCCCTATCCACTGGCTGCATTGCTTGAGTCTCGCCTCCAACATTCTAAACATTTTACTGTTCCTCTCCCCCCCATAGCCAGTCAGAACACAGAGGTTGTTTGCATATGCAACTTGATTGGCTTTTGCTTCTAGCATTCTAAACAGTTTGCTGTTCTGAGGTAAAATGTGTTCAATCTCCAGGTGAGGGCTGGAGATCAGTCAGAATTACAACTGCTTTCTAGATGGCAGAGATCAGTTCCCCTGGAGAAAATGGTGGGCTCTGTATCCTTATATGCTGCTGAGGTGGCCCCCGTATGACAGCCAATGTCACATAGCAGTCAGGGTTTCAGAGCATGGGAGAGGCTGCAGGTGTGTGGGGGGTGGAAAGCTGAAGAGAGAGGGAAATAAAGGTAGGTTGATGATTGGCTGGGAAGGAGATAGGGTTGCCAACTCCAGGTGGGAAATTCCTGGAGATGTGAGGTATGGAGCCTGGAGAGGGTGAGGTTTCAGGAGGCGTGGGACCTCGGACAGGTAAAAAGCCATAGATTCCACCCTCCAAACCAACTATTCCCTTCTGGGAAACCATCATTGCCAATCTCCAGGTGAGGGCTGGAGATCACTCAAAATGACAATTGTTCTTTAGGTAGCAGAGATCAGTCCCTCTGGAGAAAATGGTGGACTCAGTGTCATTATACCCTGCTGAGGTCGCCACAGCAAATTGACACTGAGTGTCCAAGACCGGGGCACCCGCCCGGAGCCTCTTTCTAGAGGCAGTTGTATTTATTTCCACACTGAGCCTTTTTCCTAGTAGGCGAGAATGCAGTTTGTATAATTACTTGTATTAATTTAAAACAAACTGTTGATCAATTGGGGACACCGTTGGGGTCAATCTTTTAAAAAAACTGATTAATGTACCCTGCTTTGCAGACCTAATAAGAAGTGATAAAATAAAAAACGGTCACCTACAGGCATAGTTGTATGTGTTCTGTACTAAGAGTGCCCACATTAGATCTCACTAGAGCGTGTAAAGTAAATAACTGTGCATATATGTGTTTGGCACACAACCCAATAAAAATGAAGCACTTTTGAGCACCGCTGGTTTTATGGAATTAAGCATGTGTTTTAAATTTCTGGAACCGAAATCAACAAGAACTAGGAAGTGCTTTAATTTAAGGCTGGATCATTCCTTTGTTTTGTCTCACATTCTGCTCTTTGCATGCTAATCAGATGAGTGAGACTTTAAGGTATGCAGATCTCCTTCCCTGCATCCTCTGAGGTCTGAGCATACACTTTTTTTTTTTTTTAGTTCATTGTTCTAAGGACTAGAAGCTTGGGCTCTTTGAATCAAACAGGCAAGCTAAGAATATCAGGATACTGAATTCTGAATCATACTAAATTCTTGTTCGGAAAGTGACTGCGTGGTCATGTACAATAAAGGTAAAGGTTCCCTTGCTCAAAAGCCAGTCGAGTCCGACTCTAGGGTTGCAGTGCTCATCTCCGTTTCAAAGCCAAAGAGCCAGCGCTGTCCGAAGACGTTTCCGTGGTCATGTGGGGGGCATGACTAAACACCAAGGCACACGGAACGCTGTTACCTTCCCACTGAAGTGGTACCTATTTATCTACTTGCAATTTCTTGCTTTCGAACTGCTAGGTTGTCAGGAGCTGGAACTAGAGACGGGAGCTCACTCCGTCCTGTGGCAACTTGGGTCTCGAACTGCTGAACTTCTGACCTTCCACGGCCTGCAGTTCAGGGTCTTAACCACTTGAGCCACCGCATATATCCAATAGCCACATGTATCCAATAGCCAAGACTAAGTAAGCAATGTCGTCTGTGCATGGAGGAAAAAAAGAGGGGGGGAGAAGAGCAATCCAGGTGTGTTAGAAAGAGCAAATCTATTTAACCCTTTTAAAAAGTGCAGTATGCCTACATTTCAAGCTGTGCTTCTTACGCAAGTTTATGCAAACAGTACTTGAATTTTCCATCTCTGGCAATGGAGAAAGACATATTCTCAATCTCGTTTAGCTTTTCACACAGACCCACCCAAGTGCTCCCGTGTTCTCTTAATCTTCTTCTGCTTGTCTACTATTAAGATAGTTTCAGAGGGTTGCCGTGTCGGTCTGCAGTAGAACTGCTAGATTCGAATCCAGTAGCACCTTAAGCACACTCGGGTCTCGAACTGCTGAACTACCGACCTTACACAGCCTGCAGTTCAGCATCTTAACCACTTGAGCCACCGCAGCTCCTTGACTAGGATCTAGGTGTCTCCTAATAGATTCCCTTGAAAACGTCCAAGGCTGAGGAGGATGACACGCAGCTATGGCTGTTCCTGCCTGCTTCTCCAGAAATCACCTCATTCCCCCCCCCCCATCCTGTTGAACAAAACTGGAATTCTGCTTGCTGCAAAAAGCAAGGAGGAAAGGAGAACAAAGCGGGTCTAATGAAAGAATGGGGGAGGACAGAGGTGAACGGGCTATTTAACTTACAGGGAAATTTTCCTGGGAGTGGGCAGTGCCCTAAACAGGGCTACTGGTGGCCAGGAGCAAGCAAAGCCAGTCCTCAGGAACTCTCACAGTGCTTCAGGGATCACTTGGCTCAGATCCAACGCTCCCTCTAAGCTGTGGAGTCTTGTGAGCAAAAATTCTACTTTGTGAGCTACTGGCATTAAAGTTGTGAGAGCCAGTTGGCTACTGCATAAGTTAGTTTTCTCTGGAGCCCTCCTTCCTGAGCTAAGACAAAAATGTGTGAGCCGGAGGCTAAAAATCTGTGAGCTAGCTCACACTAACTCAGCTTAGAGGGAACACTGCTCAGATCCATCAACAACAGTGCTAATCACTCAGTGTGCCTCAACATTTGCCCTGCTCCCATTCTGCCAGTACTTTGTGGCAGGAAGCAATGGGTGAGTTAATGCCTTCGAGACCACCTCTCCCCATATGAGCCCCGGAGGACACTGAGGTCCACGAATCAACATCTTTTAGCAGTCCTCAACCCCAGGGACTTCCAGCTAGCCTCAACCTGCTACAATGAGCTCCCATGTGAGATCAGGGCCCTGCGGGATCTATTACAGTTCCGCAGGGCCTGCAAGACGGAGCTCTTCCATCCTTGCTATCTCCCCTTCGGTGGCCTGGATCCAAATAGATATTGGGCTACCCACTGCTGAATTTAAATAATCTGACTGACATCAGAATTAAATGGTTAACACGGTATTTTATGGTTCTATTGGTTTAAATTGGTATTTTAATAGTTGTTTTATTGGTATTTATTATGATTGATGTAAACCGCCCTGAACCCGTCTGCGGGGAGGGCGGTATATAAATCAAATAAATAAATAATGCCCATGGTTGGTGCCACTGAAGTCAATGTCCCCTACAGCTGTCACTCCGCTTGGCGTGCTTCAGGGCCATTCGAACTTCCTAGTCCACTCTTAGGGCAGGGAAATCCATGGCTGCGCCCCACAGCGATGTAGTTTTTAAAAGGGCAGCGTGCATCTCTGAACTGCAGCCTTGAGGCTGCAAATTTATGTACCTCATTCACTGATTGTCTCCATGTGTAAAACAGATTAACTTTACCAAATCATAATTTTTTTTTGGAAAGGCTGCCTGAACTCCAGGTGCTCCACAGATCTCTGGCTGCAGATGTAAGCGACTCACCTGCGGACATTCTGCTGCTGCCATTGCATGGACTGTGGACTCCTACTGGAACAAGCCTATAGCGGTCAGGTAAGTTTGTTCTGGGTCACGTACCAGTGCATTTAGCCAGCGTTCCAAGGGGAGGGGGAAAAAGCCAAGTCTAGTTGCACGCCTGGGTTTTTGCAGGCTGAGAAAGTTTCAGTGTAAAGATTTGTACAATATTGAGCGTTTTGGCAGATCATCGGCCCTTCATAACCTTTGGCTGTGGAGTAATCAGACACTGGCTTTCTATGATGAGATGATGAAGAAGATGAGATTGGATTTATACCCTGCCCTTCACTACCCAAAGGTGTCTCAGAGCGGCTTACAAACTCCTTTCCCTTCCCCTCCCCACAACAGACACCCTGTGAGGTGGGTGGGGCTGAGAGAGCTCTGATAGAAACTGCTCTTTTCCAAGAACAGCTGTGCCAGAACTATGGCTTGCCCAAGGTCATCCAGCCAGGTGCAAGTGGAGGAGTGGGGAATCAAACCCAGTTCTCCCAGATTAGAGTCCGCGCACTTAACCACTACACCAAACTGGCTCTCTATGCTACAAAGACTCTTATCTCTCAAACTACCGTTTGGTGTAGCTGTTTACGTAGGATCCTCCTGGCAAGCCAGATTGAAATGTCTAAACATGAAGAGCATCTAAGCAAGTGGTCTTAGATGAGCAGAGCGAGCAGTTTGCAAAACAGACAAGAACACCCAGCGGAAACCAGAGCTGACCAGCAGCCTCTTCCGACTTCCTTAAGGACTGCTGTTCGGAAGCTGGAACCAGACGAGACAGGATGCAGCTGCGTCCAGTTGTCATGGCCACCAGCCCGGCACAGATTGTCATCCTAAAGACTCACACTAGGGAGTATGTCCCATTAGACTCAGCGGGACTTGCTTCTGCCTAAATCTGCTTGGAACTGTGCTGCAAGATGAGTCCCGATAGATGCCGTGTGCTCTTAGTCCCTTTAGGTAGAAAGTTTGTAGGCAATAAGGGAGAACTGTGAGGCTTTCAGATGGCAAGCGTAGCAGAAGGGCACAACAGGTATGCACTGTCACAGCGCGCCCCCCCCCCAAGCAGAGATCTGTTGGGGTCTTGGACTGGTCATACATCCGATCCCAGAAGAAGAAACGAGATGAAAAGCATTTGAGTGGGTGTTTGAGGGGAAACAGATACATCAAGGCTGTTTAGTCTGGGGAAGAAGAAGAGGATGAGATGAGGTAACACCGTTGTGTTTTTGGTGCTTTTATGGTGTGTGTTTTTTTTTAACCAAAGCTATTCACAACCCAAATCTGCACAATTTAAAGTGCTGTACTCCTGTACTTAGTCAGATTATCGGGCTGTGTTCTTGCAGAGCAGTGAGGCCAGAACAAACGTTCCAGTAAGGATTTTGGAATGAGGAAAGCTGTGGTTTTGTGGACTGTTACTCCTTTGTTGTGAGACATCCAGAGATCTTTCTTTGGGGTAGTGCTTTTATTGCTAGGTATCACATTTTCCCAACTCTCCAGTGGGCAACACATTTTGACTGGGGTAAAACCGATTATCTCCAAGTGACGGTGTTCACATGTCTGTGAATGGTTTCTGGAATGGGGTGGTGGGTCTGTACTGGTTAGTGCCTGTGGTATCGTGGAACAGCACACCTTCCACCCCATGCCCGTGTTATTTTGGTAACTTTTTAAAAAATGTGTGGCATTGTTGGTAGGACAAGTGGCCTTAGGGATATTATTTTACCTCTGGGCACTCCTCCACTGTACTGTTCATGTGCCAGAGTGCTAAGAGATGTAGATCTAGAGTGACCAGTAGTAGCAAAGGCACATACATGTGGCAAAGCTGAGGTCGTGTTTTGGGTGGCTCTTCAGGCTAAAAATGGTCAGAGCCCAAAAGGAAGAGCCAGATGGGCCGTCCCAGGTTGGGTGGGCTAATTAGCGCATCAAAAAGCTCTGAGAGCCAGAAAAAGACGGAGTGATGAGAGAGTTCGAGTAAAACCTCTGCTCTTTGCTTGGGCGAAGAACTATAATCCTGTTCAATTAGGCAGTTCCTTGGTTTGTTGTGTTTATTTTATTTCGTGCCCTGCCCTGTTGAAACATCACATGCAGCTCTTTTTTCTTTTCTTTTTTAGCAGCGAGTGGGGGGGGGAGCAGCAAAACTGTTATTACATTCCCAAGCCGCTGTGGCTGTAAAACACAAAGTTCACGACCATTTGGAGGGCCTTTCTAGGCAGCTTATTATGCAATAAAGGCATGGCTGTTCTTGCCGGGATACACATGTCTTTCCTGCGGGTCAGGGTACTATTTTGGGGGAACTGCCTTTGCCTTTGCTGGTACGCATGAAGCTGCCTAGTCTGCCAAGATCAGTATTGTCTACTCAGGCTGGCAGCGGCACTCCAGGGTCTCAGGCAGGAGGCCTTTTGCATCACCTATTCCCTCGTCGTTTTAACTGGAGATTGAAACTGGGACCTTCTGCATCCAAAGCAGAGGCTCTTCCACAGAGCCGCAGACCCTCCGTCCTGACATTTGTTGCTAACCGACTTGTATAGTGATGTCCCAACTACTATTCGCAGACCCTCCTGACATTAGTTGCTAACCAACTTGTATAGTGATGTCCCAACTACTATTTCCCAGAGTTGTTAAGATCAGCGTTTTTATTGCATCCGGATAGATAACCTCCACGTCCAGAGGCAGTAAACCTCTGAGAACCAGTGCCTAGGAGGTAACACCAGGGCTCCTCTCTTTGGTGGCCCTCCAGGGCAGCTGGTTGGCCACTATGTGAAACGGGATGCTGGACTAGATGGACCACTGGTCTAATCCAGCAAGCCACCACTTATGTTCCTTAACAATAACTGGGAAGTAAAAATGCCTGAACTAGGAAATCAGCATAGTGGTTTGAGTGTCGGTCTAGGATCTGGGAGGTCCACGTTCAAATCCCCACTCATGCCATGGAAGCTTGCTGGGTGACCTTGGGCCAGTCACACACTCAGCCTATCCTACCTCACAGGGTTGTTGCGAGGAATCAGTGGAAGAGAGGAGAATGATGTAAGGTGCTTTGTGTCCCCATTGTGGAGAAAGGCAGGGTATAAATGAAGTAAATAAATAAGTAACAAAGAAAAGCCACCATACTGATCGAGCAAACAAGGTCAGAATGTAAGGTGACCCAAAAGATTAGCCAGTTATGCTTCTTCAGCAGTTTCAGCTGGTAGCCGTGATGGTCTGCAGTAGAACAGCTAGGTTTGAGTCCAGTAGTACCTTAGAACAAGGGTGTCAAACATAAGGCCCAGGGGCCAGAACCGGCCCATCCAGGGCTCTTATGAGGCCCGGGAGCAGCTAGTACAAGGGAGGGAACAGGAGGCTGCTCAGGAGGGAGTGGGCGGAGCCACTCCGATTGTGGCTTCAGCATGGCAGAACAGCCTCGTCTGCAGCAGTCTTCAGCATGGCAGAACAGCCTCGTCTGCAGTGTCGAGCAGTGTGGGAGCGTCTGCCCAGTGCTGTGCCGCTGGCTCTCCAGTCCGCCCATACAGGTTTTTCTTTGCACACCCCCCCTCCCTGCCCATGCAGTGCCTTGCAGTGAGGACGCACCAACTTAGAGGTTACCAGCTGCTGTCCTTTATACAGTTTATATCTCCGGTACCTGGCATTCTGTTTTATGGCACACGTGGCCCGGCCCAACAAAATGACATTTATGTCAGATCCAGCCCTTATAACAAATGAGTTCAACACCTCTGCCTTAGAGACTCATTGGTCTCTAAGGTGCTACTGGACTCGACTCTAGTAGATAACTCTCCTCTGTACTGCCGATGACTCGTGGTTGGGGCAGGAAAACACAGAAAGCATTGCCCCCCCCCTTCTCTCTCTGGTCAACACCTCTCCCTTGCTTGAGACTTGGTAGGGCTCCCTTGACTCTTGTGCACCCGTCTGGAAATATTTATTGACTTCATTTATACCCGACCTTCCTGTTTCTATTTCTCCTTTTGATGCCGAATCGTGCATGTTGGTAAAGGATTTGTCTTTGTACGCCGGGTAAAGGAGCGGAGCAGATGCTCTCTGCTTCCCAGCTTAAATCCTCTAAAGCCAGTGGAATTCAAAAATGGGTAAAAGTAAAATAAATAAATAAAATGAGACTGCAGCAGAGAACGGCTTTTCCTCCGCCATATATAAGCTTTTGTGTGGCATCAGGCCAGCGACACAGCATATTGCTCCATCTTATTGAGGTCAGACCTTTATTTAATGATCCCTGGCCTCGGTCTTCACGGTTTCTTCCCTTGGCTTCAGATCATTCATGAATTCGGCTAGTGTATTTACCACTCGGCCCTTCAAATATCTAATTAAAATATTGAATAGTATTGGATGCCTGCCAGCCCCACTCAAAGCCTCCTCCCAGTGTGACCCCGAACAATTGATCACTGTTCATTTTCTTGTCAATTTATATCCCTCTTCGTGTAACAGCGGCGTCTGGCCCAAAAGCTTTCTGTGGTTTTATTAGGGCAGTTATTGTGTACTGGTTATAGTCAAGGAGGGCCCAGAGGTCTGTGTGGCTGTGAACTGAGACATACAGCAAGGGATCGTCCCTTTTTAAAAGAGGCATCTGTGGCTTTGTTTTGGACTCTTGAGGACCACAATGCTTATTTTAAAAATGCAGTTTCTAGCCCTCATTGTGCACAGATGTTCAGAGACAGGAGGACTGCACCTGCTAAATATTCAGCTGGGTTGAAAGTTGTGTGGAATGTCTAAGGACTAAGTAGTATGTCTGACTATATGAAATGGCCTTATTCTGAGGCAGATTGTGTTTCCCATTGTGCCTGGAAATAGGTCTTATGTGCATTAAAACTGGAAGCAGATGTCACTCAAAAACAGATCTGTCTGTTCTCTCAGTTGTCTCTTAGACCAAGGGGCAGTTGCCTTCCTTGTAACTGCAAGGTAGAGCAGTTAATGTGGACCTCTTTGCCCGTTCCAGCAACCTCAGAGATGGATTTTAGGCAACAGCAATGGTTCAGGAATTCCTCCACGCAGGCTACATCAGGAGATCATAGGGCATCCTTTACCCACCTTCTGGCTAATATTACTGC